GGGGACCTTTCGCTGATGAAAAATGCTTCAAGTGTCCTTCGCGCCAAAGTGAGGGGTTCTCGCGTCAGAATCTTAACTGTAATTCTGAACCCCGCGCCTTCATGGGACTCAACACAGTGAGCACCCCGGGGGAGGGGGGGGGGGGGGCAGGGTTCCAGCCTTGCTCGAATCAGGCCCTCCTGATTCTTTGACCCTAGCGCACAGAATCACCCAGTTTTCTCAATATATTCATCCTCACACAGATTGCATGAAATCAGGTGGATCACGCCTGGTGTCATGCAGTCACCCTTCTGTCTATTAAGGCAGATCACACAATTGAGGGTCAGGCAATTCGATCGTGGCGGTCTTGAACTAGTAGTTGCTGCTTCGGATTTTCCGATGGGATCTCGACCGTTCGTGCCATGTCCTTTGCAGCGCCGCTCTTATTTCAGAGCTCATAACATTCAATATAAGGGGTACACAACGCTACTTTATCCGAGCTACCGATCTTGGGGCCATGTGTTTCTTCTTATATACTCCTCAACTGCTTTTAAGAGCCAGAGAGTAACCATTGAAAGGTGCGATCTTTGCCGGATGAGACCAGACGGCCCTCTTAGACATGTTACTTGTGATAGCTCGCTTTGTTTTGAAGGGATCCGCCGAAATGAAGTGTACTAGATGTTCTTGTTGCTGTGTTTTCGATACCATCTGGTGCGGTTAAAACCACCTTCAACCCTGACTTGTGTATTAAAGGAAGAAGTATATTACCGTTAGGCTTCTCACGCGTGAATCTAATGTGTTCTACTTGTCTGTTGAGCAGGCCGTAACACGTGTCCTTGTTCTCCGTTGAACAGACGACAAACAATCGTCTATTTGGCGGCAGTACACAATAGGCCGGCGATCAAGTAACGATAGTAAATATAGCATCTTTTAGATAGTGAGTATTTGGAAACTAAGTTTCAAGAAAGCGGTCCACAAATGTACCAAGGTTGAGTCTACCAGTCATATTTTCCCTCTCCCGTTCTTCAAACCGCAAGAACCTAACGTAGCGGCCACTATTGCTTACTTATTATTATTTTCTTATATTCATTGATTTGTAGGTTTTAGTGAATTGGATTCGTAGGTTCCCAAAAATGAATAGGAAGGACAAGTGAGTAGCCGTAACTAGCGAACTCGCGACTTTTTCTAGACTCCGTGGGTTTTGTTTGCCCCCGGTATCACGGCGAGAAGGGTAGGGCATATCGTCCAATGCCACCCCACAAAATCCTGTGAGTCAGTTCAGCGACGGACAACTAAAATAAATCAACGACCTAACGTTTCCACGCCATCGTCTTCTTTAGAGGCCTAAAGCAACACGAGATGATTTGCACAGTAACCAAAAAGCGCTTCTCCCTCTGGCGAATGCATCGACGAAATCGAAATCCCACAATCCAAAGCATAACTCAACAAGGCTCTACCGCTCGAGCGGATACGACGGATATGAGACTTTTTGTTGTCTCCTTTATACTTGGGATAAGAAAGATCACATTATAATGCTACTGAGCCACAATCACAAGTCACAACTCACAACGCCACATCGCAGTGCGGTCTATACGGCAAAAGATCCGCTGTCGCCACGACTGTCAGTAGGACAGACATTCATCTCTACCGTTCACGTTAGAATTCCTTGAGAGAATCCAGAACGCCTCTAATGCCTTTCACGCTGAAATCTCCGTTTATGCGCTAACATCGTGCACTTTACTTCAATGTTGTTGCCGTCATGCTCTTCAATTTGATGCCTACCAAGCGCCGTCATCAGACTACCGCGCCTCATACTAGCTAGGTGCGCTTTCATTCGTATGGCTAGTTCTCTTCCCGCTTTTCCGATGTATGTTGACCCACATTTCCGGCGCCTATCAGAGGGCTATCGCACTTTTTTCCACAAGGACATGATGCAATCAATGTAATCAGATGTAGCGAGAAATAGTGAAATGGCCTGGAGTTTGGTTCTCAAAAATGATGTGCAGTACCGATCGAAATAAGTTTTGTTTTTTGAAACTGTGCGAAAATAAACAGAGTGCAATACTTACATTGCCAAAATCTGATTGTTCAGGCTGAAATTGTGAAGTTGTCAGAAGAAGTGGGAGAGCAGGGTGAGGGACAACCTATTCAATACAAAGAATATCACATAAAAATAGCAGAACGAGTAATAAGAAATTATGAGTTAGACATAAACACAAACTTCACCTGATCAATCTGGAAACGATGTCCACACATGCGCGACTTATGTGTTACACAAAGTATGCAGGTAAAACTGCTACTCTCGTCTACAGCGACATGCCATAAGTTTAGAGATCCATTTTCATGGTGTGTCAATAGATGTATTGTAGCAGAGATTTTCATCTCAAGCATACGACCACTCAACAAAAGTTCTAAACAAGCTATCAATAAAAAATCGAAAAGATGTCTTTTGAGCGGGTTGATACCGAAACAACCCTCTATATCTGGGAGAATAATTTGGTTGAGCTCCTTGAAAAATGGAAAGATAAAAAAACTTTCAAGGGAAGGATAATAGGTTGCAGTGGATACTCAAGATGAGATGTAAATGTCGAGAGAAATTGTGAACGCTGTTCTCAAATATGCCTTCAAAATCTGCGGTACTTTTTAGGGACAAAGTTATAGAACCGTTTTCCTCCTGTGTTACACCATTGTGTCGCAAGTTCAAGCGAAAGGATAATCAATAGGCTGTACAAGGATGGCGCGCTTGGTAAGGCGATGAACTTTAGACGTGCCACGGATATCCGGATACTTGAGACACGTGCCCATTTTGCTTCTTCATGACACGTGCTGGTACGTGTGATTTGACGAGACCAGGAACTCGGAAGTACATGTGAACTGACGCCTTTGTGAAAAATGCTCTTGGAACGGTAGGTGAGCAACTTAAGGCAAAGTTACTGATTCACTTAATGTCGAGTACTCTTTTCTTGAGATGAATGTGGTGGTGCGGATGAACAGAATATCACAGCTCTACTTTAAACATACCTTCCTAGACTAACTTCGAAAATGCGTTCATTCTCTATTTTCAATCATCAAATGGATATCTTTGTCGTGGAATGGGCTCCCTATACGCATTTTTCCGTAAACTTATTGTTTCACTCTCCGCAATCTTCGAAGCCCCACAGATCAATCCGTTCGTTCTGCACCTAATACTCCTATGTAAATACCACACCGTCATTGGTCAAGAAGAGACCAATATGAAAGGTGCTGGTCTTTCTCAATCTCCGTCAGCATCCGTGGGTGATATCCAGGGGCGTCGTGCGATTGACCAGTGGAGGTAATGAGGTTGTCTTCCGTGAAAGGCGGGGCCTGAGGGGGCGCGTTGCATGGACGAGCTGCCACAGACGACAACATGCTATGTGTACTATCATTGGGAGAAAATATAAACCTGTTGAAGACAAGCAAAAAAATATCAATTAGACACCTTTGTAGAACGATTGCACTTATGAGGTCGAAACATTTTGAAATTATTCTCATTTCGAATGCTTGACAACAAAAAGTTGCTGACCTATGAGGAAAATTCTTAATCTTTATCACTTCAATGCCTTTGTTAAGAATTTTCTATTTCATGGTAAAGTCATGGATTAGTATGAATCTCGTTTGCTCCATCTCAATCGAAGGGAAAGCCAGCGACCGCATCGAAATCACTACGTAATCTGCTGCGCGGTGTGTCACGTGTAAAGCTTCTTCTTCATGCATGAGAGAAACCAGGTTATTTATGCTCGAGCGATGAAAAGCTGCGGTTTCTCCCGCATGTACATTAAATTGAAGCTCACGGGTAAAACCACAGTGTTGAGGGATACTCTTTACTTTAAAGTCAAAGCCTTCCTCTCTCCCCGCCTCCCCCCCCCCCCCCCCNAAAAAAAATTCCACCTTCTCTTTTGGCACTATTGGCATAATCGTTGTAGCTGTCATCAGCTGATCAAAGAAGATCATTGACCGTCTTCCACGGACACGTTTTCGCCACAGTTTACGAAGAGGCTGTCGTTTATTTTTATTTTATTTATTTATTTATTTTTATTTTTTATTGTTTGTTCCTTTTCAGATGATGCTCACTTCATGTGGAAAAAACCGAAGACCTTCAACAAATGCTATATCACCAACTCAGACACAACTCACATCTCAACACATGGAACATAAAGATTGAAGAGCGATCCAATTAATGCTGTGACATCTGTCTTCCAAGAGCGGGGTGGTGTAGTGAAAAGTGGCCCACTTTCTCAAACGTCACGGGTTCGAATCCTGAGTCGATAACCGCATAGGTCAATCAAGCCTTTCATTCCTCCGGGGTCGGTTAATTGGGACCAGACTCATCTGGAAGGATAAAAGCAATGACTCGTACATCGGCTGACCACCGCACTTCATTGTATAGATCACATACATATTCAATACGCCACTACGATTCTGAATGGAAGTCGAGTGCGGGGGAGCAGATGGAATCGATTATGCCCCGAGATTTTATCCCTTTATCCTGCCTTCCAGAAACTTTGAAAACTTCTTATATCTTTGCAATCGTATTTTGAGCAGCAGTTTCGCCATTCATTTTTTCTCGAATCAAGCTGCACTTTTACACGACCGGGGGAGAGCGAGGTCATGTTTTCTAAAAATAAAATCACAGTTCCTGAGAAACGTAAGGGAAGGCCTGCGAAGCAAACTTGAAGGCTAAAAGGGTTTTGCAAGCGCTTAGGACACATTTCATGGAAAAGCAAAACGATTACATGCATTAGGGATCTGAACCTCCTAGCCATGCTTAAAAGCATGTCTAGCATGTCTCCTTACCAAGTGCGCCACAGTTGCACATGTTAAATACTGCTCGATTCTATAATCCGTGCAACCCGTTGGTATAATACATGAGGGAATCGATTTCGTAACTTTGTTTCCAGAAATGTTCGCAGATTTGGGACGCAGCTTTGCGATCGCGTTCAAAAACACTTTCGACACCTTCAAATGGCGACTGCTATCCTCTCCTTGTTAGATGCGATCCTTTGGTTCTCCAATTCACTTCTCGAAAGTGAAGCACAATAATACACGAATATGTACAATGGTTGAAAAACTACACAGCCGTCTAAAGAAGCCTCGATATAGGAAAAAGGAGAGAATTTCGTGTTAATCAGGAAAGAGCACATCATCCTGACCTGATGATCTTTTTTCTGAGATCCGAAATAGGCCATGAAATGTTTCTTACTCACACTTAGTCACTATTTCAGTTCTCAGCTGGTCCATATTCGTTACATATTCATTGATAATTCTTGGCCCCCGCCGTTTCGTTCACTGTAGAAAAACGCTACTTTGACGAACCTGCATCCTTCCCCACTTCTTTCCGAAGTAAGTCAACCAACATAGGCTCGAAGGGATTGAACGTATCAAGGGATGGGTGTAAAGACGAAGCATCAGCGATGGGGAGAGCAGCTTAAAAAATATGAAATGGAGGAGCACAGCACACATCAGTAAAAAGTATAAACAGGTACATGGAATCCTCGATGTGAAGGAGACCACAGGTTGTCGATGTGGGTCGTCCAACCACTGTACTGTCCTGAGATAAACAGGATTGTAAAAACTTGACATCATGTCAGTCAGTCTTAATAGACATACTGGAAGGAGTAGAAAAGGAATAGGCCTATGCTTAATTATTGCGAATTTTTGCGCGACTTCTTTTCTCTCGATACAATTTGAATATTGAATTCGAGATCGAACGGAAATAATCTTTCTACTCCTCTTAACAGAAACATGTCTAGAAAGTCATATTCATATACGCCACATTATGTTCTATAACTTCTAGAAAGGTTGGAAGGTGGCACAGCAACAAATTTATCTCAACGAATTTCTCGGCTATAGAACAGTCAGCCAAAGCCGAAGCCGAAAGAATGGAATTTGCTTCTACGGTCGTTCTATTCGCCAAAAAAAAATCCCATGGATTGTCACGTCAAATGCCTGTCAAAAATTGGCTAACAAACAGAACTTTTGACGATATGGATAGCTTGATGGCCGACGTTAAGGCGTGGATCACCTCTAAGAATCAAAACTCCTTCGCCTGTATAATCCGACTCCCCAGCAAATGTGAAGAAGCGCTCGACNTAGATGGTAAATAAGTTCCGGAGTAATTATTTGTACATTTTTGCTGAATTCTCGCTTGCTTTTTGCTTCTATTGTTTCTTCAGGGAAAATATGCTGAAAAAAATCTGCAATAATTATGCATCGACCTAATAGTATAACACCTTCATCGGAACGGAATACAGCCAAAAATACAACTACGAAACACATTTTCGACAAAAGCGTCATAGAAAACAAAGCATAATTCGTATCCCCAGTGTATCCGGATCACGAATAGAACAAAGATACGAGGGCTTTTGCGTAAAATAATGAGAAAAAAATCAAATTGCAGTGAATATCTTTGATCAACATACTAAAATTTCATATGATTTTATGCACTAGGAGAAAAGTTACAGACTTTTGACCGCTATTATATATACCAGTCGGTTCACCCGGCTAACGCCGGGTTTCCCTCATTCTTCAACAAAGTTGAAGCAATCGGCTAACTCTCTACTCTTTCTTTGAAACAAATAATATTTTCCTGTACACGAAGTTTAACACAGGACTAACAGGGCATTGCAAATGGTATTCAGCGTAGCTCGGTTCTTATATTGGGTTGTAACATAAGTTCGTAGAGTTTTGTGTTAAGGTCACTTTACAAAGATTCGCTTTGTTTTTTGGCGAAGTGTATATATTCATTCGAAAGAGCTCTTTCTCTTCTATAAAATGTTTTTATTCGTTTTTTTTGGATAGTCTAGTTGTACGTCTTTTTTCTGGCTCAGAATTGGAATATCCAGGAGGAGAAAATCAGCATTTTCGACATCTGCTATTCATCGAGGTCAATAAGCAGCCAAAGCCGCTCGGGACATATGCAGTGTGTACGAGGAAGGTGTCCTAGGTGTCCACATGAACAGTCAAAGCTACATCGTAAACACCGAAGGCATTAGGACTTATCGATGGGTGGTTCTTGCTCTCTTGAGCTCCTTATCTTTTTTTATCAGTTAAGATCCGTTCCTGTCATCGAGTACCTACGACCCCGTCACATCCTACATCACTTACTAAAATCTACAAAATCAGAACTCTTTAGGTCCATGGAACAGAAGGTACGAATTTCCGCTCAAACATTTACTCTGCGCACGCTCCGCCCTCTGTAGAAAAGTCCAGCCCTGTACTTGCCATAAGTGTTCCCATTCCGGCTTCTGCATTCCTACCAATTTTGAACACTCTAGGTCCATCGGAACAGGATTTATGAGTTTCCGGTCGATCACACACACCGACACACAACACACACACACACAAACACCGACAAACCAACAGACACACTTAGCGGATTACATATGGTAGGATATATATATATATATATATGTATATATATATATATATATATCCTACCATATGTAATCCGCTAAGTGTGTCT